ATGACCTACATCTTCATGAGTAACAGACCAGAGAGTAGATAAAATGGTAAACCATCTATTCTAGAAAAAGAAGTCAAAGAAAATATTTCCAGGGGCGGGCCATGTCTCACTTGGGAGAGTGTGTTGCTGATAACACCAAGGCCACAGGTTTGGATCCCTATATAGGGATGGCTGGTTAGCTCACTNATACTTTGATTTACAGTAGAAGGAACTAGTGGACAGCCCTGATAGTTTAGCTCAGAATGAACTGTAGGCTACAGTGCGGAGAAATTGGTTTCTCAGTCCTCTCTGCCCTTCTGTTTTTCTATTGCCCTGAGTCCTGCCTGGGCCGTCCACGAGAGGCCTAGAGGCATTGAAAAGGAAGGTGGAGAGGGAGAGAGCCAGAAAAGGGGGACTGTTTAAAATTCATGCCTAGACCAATAAGCTTGTCGAGTTTACTGATTCTGTCTTATTTATACCTAATATTAGCCTTCCTAATTACTACTGTAACAATCTAAATCTCTCATTTACTCAGTTGATCAAAGTAAGGTTCTAATTGGCACGTCAGTGTTGCAGACAAACCATGTAGGGGCCAGTTATCTTTGAAAAGAACTTTTTTTCAAAGCCCAAGGCTTGCACCCTTTAAAGCCCAGCCAGGTGTTTTCAAAAAATCAGATGACCTACATCTTCATGAGTAACAGACCAGAGAGTAGATAAAATGGTAAACCATCTATTCTAGAAAAACAAGTCAAAGAAAACATTTCCAGGGGCGGGCCATGTCTCACTTGGGAGAGTGTGTTGCTGATAACACCAAGGCCACGGGTTTGGATCCCTATATAGGGATGGCTGGTTAGCTCACTTGGGTGAGCGGGGGGCTGACAACACCAAGTCAAGGGTTAAGATCCCCTTACCGGTCATCTTTTAAAAAAAACAAAACAGCAAAGAAAACATTTCCACTTCCCCATCCTCTGACCAATCATAGTGCACTGTAATCTGGCTTCCACCCCCACAAATGTTCTGAAAGAGTCCTACAAAGTTGCCAATGACCACCTGAGAGCTGACCCCTCTGCTTGGTTTTTAGGAGTCATCTTTCTTGATGTTTACTGCATGCATTCCACACTAGTAACCATCCTCTCCTAATTAAAACTCTTTCTCATTGGCCCTCACAATATTATTTCTTCCTTATTTTTCTCTAGTCTATTTGGCCACTCCTTCTTGTTCCACGACCTGTCCCCTCCATGTTGGTGCTACCCAGGGACCCATTTCAGACATTTTTAACTGTTCCTAGTTGTTTTGATTCATTACTGTGGTTCAATTTCCATATTCATGCCTTAGTTCATACCCGTTCCTAAGCTTTAAACCTATAGCTCCCCACAAAACATTCACACCTGGGTTTTAGCAAAACCCCTCAAATGCCTTATGTCCTAGAGCCAATCTCGTCTTCCCCTCTGAAAATGCTCTCCTCCTCCTGCATTCTGTTTTAGTTAATGGCTTCTCCCTGACCCTGAGGAAGTCGCTTTAATTACACCCTTATTCTCTCACTGCAACATCCAGATCCAGGCTTCAAATCCTACCATTTCCACTTCTCCAGAGGGTTCTCCAATCTGCTCCTCCTTCCCGTTCCCACTGCCACATCTGGCATGTAGGTCCCCTCCCAACTCTTCACATCACTGTTGCAGTAACTGCACTTCTTTTCTCTAGGGACTCTTTATTCCAATCCATTCTCCACACTGACACCCAAGATAGCGGTTGAAAACAAAGCTAGGATCACATTGTCCCCTACAGAAACTCACTAATTCTCTTCTTTGCTTATAATGTAAACTCTAAAATAGCGTGATTAGAAGGCCCTTCATAGTTTACACCAAAATATGTGGTTAGCTAGTTTCCCATCATGTCTTCATATCCTAGCCATGACAATCTTCTTACCATCATCCAAATTGTCTACTCCCATTTTACACGCTCAGAGAAAGAAAAAACCACTCTGACCGTTTTGAGCCCTGGCTGCTTCGAGGCTGGCCCTGGTGAGCACATGGAGCAAGAGCTGGCAAAAGCCGCTGCTGTACCCTTAGTATGTAGTTGTTTGGAGCTGCAGGTGAGAAGAGGGCCTTGGTGGCCCTCAGGCCAGAAAGACCACTTAGACCCTCATAGAAGTGAGGGGCCACAGACAACTCAAAAAAGGAGACACTCAGAGGCCAGTGAGTCATCACAAGGAACCTGCACATGTCCCATCCAATGGGAAATGTTTGGAGCATGGGCAGTGGGGAAGACTGGCCCAGCAGGGGAACACTGGGGCACAGCAAGGACAGCTGATCTGCCCTCCAATCAGCACAGGCCCACTCAGCGGAGACTGGTAAGGAACATAGAACTGCAGGGGGTGCAGTCTGCTGAAAAGACTCAGGCCCAGACCAGAGTTTCCACACAGCCCACGAGTACTGGCCCTCACAAGACCCAGAAGTGCTTACGAGGTCAACAATTAAAACCTGAGTTGCACAAAAAGGCTTCCCCTGAGAATCAGCAGCAAAGTAGCAATTTAGCTCAACCACAGGGAGAATCAGCAGCAAAGTCAAGACCCAGAAGTGCTTACGAGGTCAACAATTAAAACCTGAGTTGCACAAAAAGGCTTCCCCTGAGAATCAGCAGCAAAGTAGCAATTTAGCTCAACCACAGGGCTCAAGTGCTGGTTCCCATAGGAAGTTCCCCCATTTTAGAAGAAAAGGACAACAAATTAGTTCCAGTGCTGAGTTTAAGTGGTGGGAATAGTGAATAATCCAACACAGAACTGAAAGAAAAAACAAAAACCACATAGATCAGAGACAGAGTTCTGATGTTAACCAGTAAAGGTCTACCACCACCAAAGAACGTCTGTAAAACTCAGAAGGACCAGAAGCCCCCAGGCTCCCAAGCTGGGGTGGGGGGAGGGCCAAGAGCCTCATCCACACCCCCGCAAAGTCCACATCTAGTCCAGCCACAATTAAGCCACCACCAGATACCCCCTGGGCTCCCTTGCTGGAATGAGGGGAGTGCCACGGGTCTCAACCATGCCCCCTCCCTCCTTCTTCCTCCTCCACCCTCTGCCCCTCCCTCCAACAGTTCCACAACAGCATCTTAGAATGTAAAATAATAATAATAATAAAAAATTTTTTTTTAAAAAAATCTTTTCTTCTCTTCCAGGCAACATATAACTCATCTTTTAGTAACACAATTGAATATCANCCACTTAGACCCACATAGGAGTGAGGGGCCACAGACAACTCAAAAAAGGAGACACTCAGAGGCCAGTGAGTCATCACAAGGGACCTGCACATGTCCCATCCAATGGGAAATGTTTGGAGCATGGGCAGTGGGGAAGACTGGCCCAGCAGGGGAATACTGGGGCACAGCAAGGACAGCTGATCTGCCCTCCAATCAGCACAGGCCCACTCAGCGGAGACTGGTAAGGAACATAGAACTGCAGGGGGTGCAGTCTGCTGAAAAGACTCAGGCCCAGACCAGAGTTTCCACACAGCCCACGAGTACTGGCCCTCACAAGACCCAGAAGTGCTTACGAGGTCAACAATTAAAACCTGAGTTGCACAAAAAGGCTTCCCCTGAGAATCAGCAGCAAAGTAGCAATTTAGCTCAACCACAGGGCTCAAGTGCTGGTTCCCATAGGAAGTTCCCCCATTTTAGAAGAAAAGGACAACAAATTAGTTCCAGTGCTGAGTTTAAGTGGTGGGAATAGTGAATAATCCAACACAGAACTGAAAGAAAAAACAAAAACCACATAGATCAGAGACAGAGTTCTGATGTTAACCAGTAAAGGTCTACCACCACCAAAGAACGTCTGTAAAACTCAGAAGGACCAGAAGCCCCCAGGCTCCCAAGCTGGGGTGGGGGGAGGGCCAAGAGCCTCATCCACACCCCCGCAAAGTCCACATCTAGTCCAGCCACAATTAAGCCACCACCAGATACCCCCTGGGCTCCCTTGCTGGAATGAGGGGAGTGCCACGGGTCTCAACCATGCCCCCTCCCTCCTTCTTCCTCCTCCACCCTCTGCCCCTCCCTCCAACAGTTCCACAACAGCATCTTAGAATGTAAAATAATAATAATAATAAAAAATTTTTTTTTAAAAAAATCTTTTCTTCTCTTCCAGGCAACATATAACTCATCTTTTAGTAACACAATTGAATATCAATTCCTCTGGGAAGAATTCCTAGCATTTCCTCCACACCAACAAATCTCTCCTTTCACTGGGGTCCCGGTGGCTCTTGAATGTGCCTCCGTTGTAAGCTGTTAGCCACTGGGTTATAATTTTTGGTTAGAGATTGAATCAACCTTTACAGATCATCTCTTATTTATCTACATGTCCCTAATGCCCAGAACAGTACCTGGCAGAGTAAATACTTAATTTTGATGACTAAACTCCTAACAGTTGGTGATTATCAGAAGGCCTAATAATCCATGCTAAGAACACAAGTGAAGAGCAGTACATCTGCAGTGTTTCATTTATTCTTGCAATATGAATCATTGATGATGACTTAGTAACTTGCCATTTCATTGCTTTAAATTCATGCTCATAACTTATTGCACTCAGCACTCCTTACCCGACTGCTTTTACCCACCTACACGTGGCACACACTTCTAAAGGCCGTGATAGGGTCAGCCAGTTTGTCTGTGGTTAGCACAGTGCGGCTTGTCCCTGTGACTGGACAATGAGTGTGAGTGGAATCACCATCCGTTCTCACTAAAAGAATATGTACTACAAAAAAGGCCCAAATTATACAGCCCTCTAACAAATTATGCCTATAAGACAAAGTAGTATCTCTCACATTTTATTTTTTGTGATGAAGAACCATAATAAAAAAAATAAAATTTATTACTCACATCCTTACAATTAGCGGAGATTATTTAAATGAAATAATTCACTTTGTTGAGAGCTGCCCTAAACGTTCCACTGGGTTTAACAACAGCAACAAAAAATTACTGGGTTTTGTAAGAATGATTTTTAACAAATGTTTTGTCTTCTAGGCAAAAATTCCTGGTGCTTGTTTTCTAGAAGAGCTGCTTCCCAAGTCCACATGTCATGGAACACAGCAAATCTGTCCACACCTGCGTGGCCCATCCCCAGTCCTGGCCACTCTTTGACTCACTGCCCTCTTTGTGACCTGAGAGAGAAGAGGGTGGGAATGATTCGAGACAGGCCTCCCGAAGAAGTTCTTCCTATTAGAAATGTGCCCTTCAGATTATCAGCTCCATTTTAGAAAGGGAAGTACTGAACCATTCAGTGGGATTCCTAAAAATCAGCTAAAGAGCTATTTGCAAAGACTCGACCCTAATTTTGTACCTGTTGACTTCATGTCAACAGGAATTTTTTGCTTTTACTTTCTAATTTTAGTTTTAGAGACCAATTTTAGAAATAAAACCAAAATTCAGTTATGAAATCTATGCTAAAATGTCCTCAAACCTATAATTCAAAGGTAAAACATACATTTCTCCTTTTCTAAAAGTAGGTTCTTGGTGGAGACAACAAACCCAGTTTAACCTGCTATTTCCGTTAATGGTGACCAAGTCAAAATTTTCAGAGAGGTTTCCAAGATATTCCTTAATTATGTTAATTACTAAAAAAATCAATTAGGGTAATCATTGTCATTACTCAGCTGAAATATTTTTCCACCATATTAATGTAAATTTTTGCTACCAACATTATTATTATTTAAATTTTTAAAGTGGTCTCTTTCAGAATGAATTATTAGAAGGTAAGAAACTTTCAGGTGCTGAAGTTTAATAATTATCAGGTATATGATGGATAGGAAGCAAGAGAAAGACTTTGGTCAGGAACTCCTCTAGCAGCAGTTGGGAAATCACTTCACAATGAATGACACCACATTTACTACCTCAATTGAAAGGTGCTCATGTGGTTAAATGACTACTGACTAAGTATTTCAATCCAATTAAATTCTTGGCAGCTAGAAATAGTTGCATGGTATTATTAATTAATATGTACAAAAGTGATACACTAGTATGTAGGATAACCAGTAAAGATTAGAGCTAAGAGCTGAAATTAAACACCCTGGAATGTGGGATGTCATCACTGCATCCCACGATTCAGACACCAATCAATGGCTGTAGCAAAGATAGGACAAGAGTTCAATCTTATATTAAATTAATTCTGTCTGGGATCTGAAAAATTAGTTGTCAAACATTCATCAAGCAGCATTTTATCAAAATATGAACATGAATTAACCTTAATTACAGTCTACATATATTACAAAATAGCACATTTCCCTTTAGGTGTTGCAAGGTGTCTAGAAATTCTAAGCTCTTTCCAAATGTCATGCTAATGCTGTCATATTATTCCAAAAGGAATACTTACCTCATCTATTTCTAAAATTGGATAAATTTGAGTGATGCCAAAAGGAAGAAAGAATACAGATTATGGGTTACTTAATTACCCTGAGTAATGAGTCCTCCCTCTGGGGCTTGTCTGGCATTTTCCTTGCCAGATCTTCTTGCATCCTGGTGGTTTCCTGTTAGGAACCCAGGGATATCTCAGCTTCTACATGCAGTTTCCTCAAGGTCAATCTCTTAGCAAAGCCATTCATTTCACTTGCTTATTTTGCTTCCCTCAGGGCCCTGTACCACATCCCCTGTACCCAGTAGGTAATGGCAGAAATGCCCCTGGGCAACAAGCAGAGTCTAAACAACAGCAAGAACTACAACCAAACCCTGAAAGAGTAGCCACATTCTCCTTCAGAAGGGGAGCTTGGGCTGGAAACAAAACTGCATCTTTTCTAAATCAGGATGTGTTGAGTGTTGGGGAGGGTGGTGGTATGGGCTCACTGAATTTTCAGATACTACTGGATATGTGTTTCTAGGTTAGGTGGGTGGTGTTAAATAGAGCCCTTAGCATTTCTTGTTTGTTCGGCCATTTTTAAAAATCTGACTCCCCCTTTTCTTTCTCAGTGTAATGGCTGGCCACGAGCAGCAGCTGTGCCTCTAGCTCCTGTAGATCATTCAAGGCTTCGTCATACATGACATAAGCCCCTTGCAGGTCCTGGGTGTGGATGCAGCCAGCTCCTGTGCTGTAGCAGTCATCCTGGTTCTCTACTTCTGAGATCTCCACGAATTGGATGCTGTGGACCTGCGGAAAGAAACTCAGAAGTTACTGGAAAAAGGAGAGCTATATTTTGCCAGCCCACATGGAACAAGCAGCAGGTTTCTGTTCCCACACAGTGTACACTCTGAATGTATAAAAAGCTATATGTGGTAAAAATATAATAACAAAGAATGTTGGCAGGGAGAGGTAGTTCCTGAGACAGATAACTAGCTGATTAGCTTGTTTTTATGATTAATTCAGGAGTAACTGGAAAAATGCAGCCAATAGAGCATCGTGTTAAAAGAGGTCTCTGTAGTCAGCGTGCCTGGGTTCAGGTCCTGACTCTGCCAGAATCTCACCCTGGGCAAGTCACTCAGCTATTCTTAGCCTCCATTTCCTGATCTGTAACATAGGGACAGGAAGACACCACACACCGCAATTGTTGTAGTGAGTATTTGACACTGTGCATATGAGACACTTGAATCCATAAACCTTAACTATTAAAACGTTTTTGTTTTAATTCTTTAAGTATCTCTAAAATGCATCAGCATGGTCTCATGTCTTAGCTGTACTGGGTTGAATAGCATCCCCCAAAGTTCATAATCACCTGCAACCTGTGTCTAAAACCTTTTTTGGAAATAGGGTCTTTGCAGATATGATCAAAGTTAAGATGAGGTCAGATAGGTTTACAGTAAGCCCTATATGGTGACTGGTATCCTTATAAAGAGGGAAATTTGGAGACATACATGCTGGGGAGGCCATGTGAAGACTGAGGTAGAAATGACAGTGATGCATCTGTAAGACAAGGAAGGCCAAGGCTTGTCAAGGATTGCCAGCAACTAGTGGAAGCTGGAAGAGGCAAGGAAAGATTCCTCTAGAGACTTCAGGGAAATCATGGTTCTGCTGACACCTTGATTTTGGACTTGCGGCCTCCAGAATTGTGAGAATCAGTTTCTGTTGTTGTGAGCCACCCAGTTTTTGGTACTTTGTTATGGCAGCCCTAGAAACAAATACAAGTAAGGAGTATTTCAACCATAATGTTATTTTTTTCTTAGCTAACTAAGGGTTTGCTCCTTCCTGAGAATCATTATTCTAATAATAATTCTCATCATTTCCAAGTTCTTCACTGTCCTCAGGCTTCTGAACTCACTGCCTCCTGTGCCCGGTCTCCTCTCACTGTCATCAGAAGCCTCTCAACGTCACCACTGCCACACACACACACGCACGCACGCACACACACACACACACGCACGCACGCACACACACGCACACACACGCGCCCACCACACTCAAGCCTTTCCTCTCCTCCTTCCTCCTCAGAGCACAGGACGATGCCACCCCCCCCTTCCAAAAGGCCCTTGCCTCCCCATGCGTCGAATCCCATGCCCTCCCACCTCAGCAGCAACCCTACTCCTTCTTGAATATCCAACTCCTCTCAACTGGAATCTTCCCAATTGACACTGAAGTGTGCTCACATCCCTCCCATTTTAAAACATCCTTGCATCCTTCCCAAGGTTTCACTGTGTCGCTCCTCCCCTTCATGATCCAACCTGTTATCTATACTCTGTCTCCATTTTCTCACCTCATATTCAACCCATTCCCATCTGGCCCCTGTCCCTGTCAAACCACCCAAACCACTCTCACTATGATCGACAATGACTTTTGCTCTATATCCAATAGACGTTGTTTTGTCCTTATGGGATCTCTCAGGGCACGTGACACAGTTTAGCACTCCCTGCTTGCTCTGGTCTGAATGTTTGTTCCCGCCAAACCTCATATGGAAGCTTGATCCCCAATGTGGCAGTGTTGAGAGGTGAAGCCTTTGGGAGTTGATTGAATCATGAGGGCTATGCCCTCATGAATGGATTCATCCATTTATGGATTAATGGATCAATGAGTTAATGAGTTAATAGATGAGTGGGTTATCACAGGAGTGGTACCAGGGGCTTCATAGGAGAGCAAGAGAGGCTGACCGGTTAGCTCAGTTGGTTAGAACACAGCCTTGTAACACCAAGGTCAAGGGTTCAGATCTCCATACCGACCAGATGCCAAAAAGTAAAAAATAAAAATATATAAGGGGAGCAAGTGAGCATGTTAACACACCCGGCCCTCTTGCCATGTGATACTCAGTACTGTCTCAGGACTTTGCAGAGAGCGCCCACCAAGAAGACCCTCACCAGATGTACTCCCTCAACTTAGCAGCCTAAAAAGCTACAAAAGATAAATCCCATTTCTCTATAAATCACCCAGTTTAAGGTATTCTGTTATAAGTGACAGAAAACAGACTACAACAGCTTCTTCACTCACTTTTCCCTGGGTTTCTGGGAGTCCACGTTCTCCTTGATCTTGCCAATTTCTCAGCCATTCCTTCTTTGACGCCTTGAGGTGTATTTTTCTCTATCATGTTGTTAAATAATGACCACACTCAGGTGCCAGTCCTAGGACCTCACTTTTTCCTGCTATATTCCTTCCCTAGGAGATGGCATACAATTACACAACTGAGATTACCACCTTTAGACCATTTGCTCCCAATTTTATCTCCAGTCCAGACCTCCTAGAGCCATATATCAAATCACTTATTTAGCATCTGTTCCTGGGCATCGCAAAGCCCTCTCAAATTTAACATGATCAAACTGTGCTGGGCGAGCCCGTGGCGCACTCGGGAGAGTGCAGCGCTGGGAGTGCAGCAGCGCTCCCGCTGCGGGTTCGGATCTTATATAGGGATGACCGGTGCGCTCACAGCGCTCACTGGCTGAGCGTGGTGCGGCCGGTCTCAAAAAGGAAAAAAACAAAACAAAACTGTGCAATCTTCCCCACAAACCCAGGTCATCTCCAGGCCATTTTAGTAAATAGCACCACCACCCGTCCACTTCCTCTAGCACGAGTCATCTCTGATGTTTTCCTGCTGCATCCTGTGTCCGATCTCTCACCAAGTCCTGTTGGTTTTACCTCCTATCTTTCAAATCCATCCACTTCTTTCAGTTCCGCCACCTACCTCCCTAGTCCAAGCTGTTATTATCTTTCACGAGGGCTCGTCTAGGAACTTCCAAACTGGTCTAGCCTCTTAATTGTTTTATTCACATCTCTTCTGGCCTGAGCTTTCCCTTCATTCCATTTTACTCACTGCTGGCAGAAGATCTTTTAGAAACGCAGTTCTAATTTTGTCCACCCCCTTTACCCTTTAATATCCCTCAGAGGCTTCCCATTGCTCACAGAACAAGGTAGAATTCCTTAACAGGGCCTATACAATCTGGTGCATGCCTATCTCTCTAGACCAGTGCTTCTCACATGAGGGTGATTTTTGACCCCCAGAGGACGTTTGGCCATGTCTGGAGATTGTTTCAGTTGTTACAACTTAGCGGGGGGGTGCTACTGGTATCTAAAGGGTAAAGGCCAAGGATGCTGCTAATCATCCTATAATGCACAGAACAGCCTCTTACAACAAAGAATTAACAGGCCCAAAATGTCAATAGTGCCAAGGTTGAGAAGCCTGGGCTACTTCCATTTTGCATCACTTTCTACCTGGCTTGCTATATCCTAGCCCTTCATGTCTTCTTTTGGTTTCTTGTGGTGCCGTGCCCTTTGCACAGGCTGTCCCTCCTGTGTGGAAAGGTCTCCCTCTCCTCTTTGAATAGCTGAAGCATCTTCATCTTCCAACCTTACTCCGATAGGAAGCTCCTCATCCCTCCCCCTGGCCTTCCTATAGCACCAAGTATCTCCCTATTTTCTCTTCTGGAGCACTTACTGATGATTCTGTCTTAGATTTATTTGTGTGATTTTTGACCAATATTGGTCTGGCCCACTGGATTATAAATTACTGTGAGAGTAAGGAACACATCTATTGTTCATAATTATATTCCCATTGTTTAGCACAAGGTCTAACACACAGAAAATGCTTACAAAATATCTGTTAAATGAAAGAATGGATGACTATATGAATGGTTTTCAATATTTTTGCACACAGGTTTCTTTGAGCCTATGATTTATGATCTCTACCTGTACTTTTAACATAGACTAGTCAAAAAATTCTGTGTTTTGTCCTCATAGATTCTGACCTCATGTCACTACAGACTAATACTTACATTCCATATGGGGGCGATAATACTCAGGGTGGAAAGTGGTTCTTGGAGGGCAAACAAATCTTATTCTTTTTATACATAAATCACAGATATATATACTGTACATAAATAAATACATGGCATATCTCTGGTGTTGATATCTTTGGAGGGGGATGATTAGGGGAAAAAAAGCCTAAAAAGGGTATTTATGGGGAGAGCCATAATGAAAAAAAAAAGATTAAGAAACATTGGCCTAATTTTTTATATTATATATGTATATATTAAACATATATAATACGTATATTTATTATGGTAAAATACACATAACATGAAATTTACCATCTTAACCACTTTTAAGTG